GTATCGAATACGACCCATGATGAACAATAACCAAAGAGTTGCAGGGCCGGATTTAGGGGATGGCCACATGGGCCGCGGCCCATGGCGGCAAATTTAGGGGGCGGCAAATTTTGCAATTTTTTTAAATATCGCTATAAAGAAAAATCGGATTCAGAGAAAAATTTACAAACGAAAAAAAGTGACAAAATCTCCCATTTCCCGAGAGTATATCTCTAATTTTGTCGTCTTCCTGTGATACAATAGACAGCACCTTTACTTAGTCGAGCTAAGACTAAGAGAGAAACCGAACACGGAATTTGGCCTGGAACGGCGCGGCGCAGAGAGCAAAGATGACGAGAACTTGAGATGAAAAGGAGAAACCCTCGTCGCGGCGCGGCGGTCGGCATGTAACACATATTAGCGCCTACAAGACTGCATGAATACTTCACGCATTGCGTCAAAGATAGTGCGGTCGCTGCGGTCAGCAGCGGGCGACGTGAAACGCATAGCGCCTACAAGACTGCATGGATACTTCACGCATTACGTCAAGCGTGCAGCAGCGGTCGGTGTGAAACGCTTATGACTGTAGTATTTCACGCATTGCGCCAAACACGGTGCGGTCTGCGCGGCGCGGAGGCGGATGTGAAAATTATTAAAGCACATTTATGTTTGTGCTTTCATAATATTTTCGTTCATTTCTTGTAAATCGAAGGCCTTGTCCGCACAGAGATAGGTTTACGGAATTTAACTTTCGCGCCAAGTTACGTAAATTTTTGCTAGTAGTGTTGACAGGGCTTTTGCAAAAAATGTGTCCAACACGAGTAAACGCATCTTATGCACCCCTTCCCCTCCGGCACGTTCACTTGATGGTTTTCATTGATGTTTCAAAACGATTGAGAAGGGGGCGGCAAAATACAGCCGGCCCATGGGCGGCAAGCAAGTAAATCCGGCCCTGAAGAGTTGAGCGATTGGTTTAGCCATCCTATTCTAAAGTGCAAAAACTCATGAAGCGAGACGCACGACAACGTTTACGCGCGACATTCATTCGTCATCATTTGACAAATTTTATGCTCCATAACTTACTCATCAATCATCACTGGGCCGAAAGCAGCGTTGACCGCCGAACTTGACTTTCGCCTCACACCCGAGTACATTTCTCAGGTTGACAGTGCGAGGTCACAAAAATATAAAGCCTCTGGTCACGATGCATGAATATTTTACTCGATGCTATATACTTTCGCGCGCAATTAAATAGTGTGTCCGGCGATTAGCTGATGCAACCGAAAATGCGGAATACTTTCGGTAAATTTTCTCTTGACGCTATCGCTTTGGCCCGGAATGAGGCTGTTTCCGGTGATCAGCTGATTTAACCGAAAATGATGGATACTTCCGGCTAAAATTTCACTTGAAATTCACGGGGATCAGGAGCTATTATTGCCTCGGAAAAACTTTGTCTCCTTCATTTTGAGTTGAGACATTTTCTCGGCACTATCGCTACCTTTAGAGCCTTACCACGGTAGGACGCTCCAACTCAGGCTAGGTTTTCGACAGGTTGTGAGATCGGAAAGAAAAATCGAATAATGTAAGTCTATGAATGCACAAATAAGATGCTGATCTGAAAGTTGTATCGAATTAATTTTATGTAAAGATAAATCAGTCGATTTTAAAAAATTCGTCCATTTTGAAACGGTGCACCAAAATGACAGCGACTCTCCGGACTTTAATTTAATTAGTGCATAAGTATAGTGCATTAATCTGTCACCCAAACCGCCCCTCCACAACCCAGTCCTCGCCATTTTTATGTCGCCTTCGTTTTATCGGATCTCTTCCTCCGCTGCCCTCTTCCTCCGATATGTTTCATCTCTTAAGCTTCATGAGTTATCTGCGGCCCCAGTCTCGGTTGTCAACACGGAAAGTCTCTAGCTTATCCCTTAGAGGGTTTGATTGATTGGGTGGAGTGTTAACGTGTCAAGGTAGCGCTCTCTTTCCGCAGTGCCAAGTTCATCGGAGAAATGAATCATTTAAATCACAGGTGCCAATAGAACGAAGTCAAAATACAAATATCTATACGGTCTGCGCGATTGCTCCGAGTGGCTGTCTTATGTTTGGATTACATTTTGCAATAAGGAACCATTATCTGTGGATCTTCCATAAAAGCACATATCTGCGTGGAGAAACCGATGGCATGTATGTTGTTTCTAAATGGGCCAGAAATAGTGGTTCCTTTTTGCAAAATGCTGTCCGTTTGATGTCCTACTTTTTGCTCCCATTCATTGTGACTCACAAAAGTCACAATGATGCATTTCTCGAATGGCACATGGAAAGGAACCAATTTCCGGTACTTTCGCGCCTAAACGCCCGTTTTTTGGTAGAAATATAGGTATTTTTTCTCTTTCTTTTCCGCAAATTATTTTGGGGAAAGTAACAAATACCACGTAGGTATTAAGGATTTTTGTATTCTTATGTTGGATTTCTTTCGAGTGAAAGTATCTTGACTTGTTGAGAAGCAACCAATCGCTCGAACTATACTATGCTCTGTCGTATAAAAAAACATATTTTATCAAGAATCAGCCACCTGTTCTTATGACATAACAGAGTATTCGATACGTAATTCAGGTCAAGAAGAGTACAGTTTTACGCAATAACACCACTCTTATCAATATGTTTGAGGCGTCGAAACGATTATGAAGATCAGAAGAAGCGGACGATAAATCGAACGAATTCAACCAGAATCAGTCTAACTGCATTGCACCTATCTGGACAGTGTTAAGTGAATCAGTTATCACTGGGCCGCTCTAAAAAACCGCTCGTTCGTTGGCTGTGTGGTTCCTAGCTGTAGGATAATTCTACACTAGAGGCACCGCACAATGGACGATTAAATTGAAATATCCGCAATGGTGAGGCCTTTTGCTCGGGCAGAATGAGGATTTTGTTTTCACACTTTTCTGCAGATGTGACTCTATCGCTGAGCTGTACCTTAGCGGCAATCGCATCAAACAAATGGATGCAAGATGGTATGAAAATGATGCAGATAGATTCTGCATCATTCTTCTGAAAAGTTTCCCCTCACATTTTGGTGTCAATTATTTTCCATCTCCACAGACGCCAAAGTCAAAAGCAGCGACTAGATTCTCCATTGGTATCATGGCAACGGTGAAAGCTTTTACTTTCGGGACTTCAGAATTCCACTGTTGACTTACCTAGGTCGATGGCTAACAACGTCTCGGGAGTTTCGTTTTGCAGACAAACTGAAGTTTGGGAAACTTGTTTGGCTCACGACGTCACCCGAAGATCATCATCCACCTAGTAAGTAGGCCAACAGTCATTAAAAAGGGCGATGATTGTTGCTCCCTTATAATCGTCCATAAGGTAGAGTTGAATCCCCCGAAAGCAGAAGTTCCCACCTGTCGCCAAGAGACCAGTGGAGAATCTCTCGTCTCTGGTCGTAGGACGTCTCCCATTGGAGGGAGATTTGGATTGACGGCGATGCGTTCACGCATGCGCAGACATAGCACACGCGTGCACGTGCAATTGACTTTGAAATAGCCGTAAAATTGAATTCGGTCCACGCGGTGGCCCATTCACACGGTGTGTTTTTGTGTTTACGAGAGGAGTTTTATCGAGCTCGACTAGGTTGGCGCATGAAACTGATTAACGGCGAGCGCCGAGCCGCCCAATGAGAGTCACGTCCGTTGCACCGCGGTTGCATCCTATCGACTTGGCGGAAAATATGTATCCCAGGCAAAACGCAGCGATTTAAGAGCTCTTTAGTACCTCTCCTGCACTCGCTCGCCAATTAACTCCATTCTCACTGCTAATATTGCAGAAGTTCCAAGTGCCGCCCGAGTAGACATTATCGTTTTATGAGGTTTTTTATTGCCCCCTCGGTGCTTTCACGTCCGATTTGAATTTGCCCTTCCTCGTCGCGGTCGCGTCGTTTACGGAAATTTAATTAGTGTTGGAATCCTTTAATTAGTGTTGGGGTTGTTTAATTAGTCTCCCAGGAACGCAGGAAAAACTAGTTCAAATTAAATTTAATGAGTTTGCAATTGAAAAAAAATAATCTGTCAAATGTGATTTTTTCCTAACTTGTTTTGTAAGTTTTAAAAATACCAAGAAACTTTAAAATCCACAGTGAACGTTCGGTGACAGAATTTTTCAAGACTTAAGCCACATATGGGTGAAACATTGTCCTTCTGCAGCAGTTGCAAAATTTGGTGGCGTTTGTGCAAATTTGCTTCGGTAGTGTCAGATACTTTTCAGAGACGCAAGAAAGTTAAAAAGTTTCAGATTCACGTTAAACATGCTAAAATTCACAAACATTTGCTGTTTTTAGAATTATGGACAATTTTTTTTTTCTGTTTGACTTTTGTGAACGCACTAGAAATCTTAACGCAAGCGTTTAGCCCGGATGTAAAAACATGAGTGAGATTTTTTTCTTACACGGTGGCTGGAGTGTTATCCTAAATCCCGCGCGTAAAATATTTTATAAGAGGCCGACTCAATACCGTTTTTCACAGGTGTCTACTCTTTCAGAGTAGCGCTGCGATGTGCAATTACTCTGAAGGTAATGCGTCTTATTTTTACCTATTTCGAATATTTAAAACTTTGTAGAAAAGGTTCACAAAAATCTGTCTTATGAATTTTAGTTGTTTTATTTCTTCTGTTTCTTTTCTAAATATGAGTGCTGTTTTTACATTTAATATTCGTTAATTGTTACCATCTTCGAATAGTTTTTAACACGTTTCGAGGGTTCACAACGAGAGGTAACGGCTATTTGCTGATATTTCTAAGATGAATCCCAAACAAAATCTTATCCAAAAATAATTGTTTCAAAGTGATCGTGTGAATAGGCTGCGTAAATTGTTGTTTCGACTCCTGCACGACACGAAAGAATCATACCGCAACGAGAAGTACAAAGACGAGATAACGGAACAGTGACTGTTACTGGCACTTGTTTTAACAAAAATATCGAAAGTCAGATAGTAAATTAACGTAATTTTTATACATTTCTGTTGCAGAGGAAACGCCAGTTAAGACGGTGAAAGAGAAAACCATCCTAACTAATACCCCCACCCGCCGATCCGTCCGAAAAAAACAAACGAAAAAGTGGAATCACGATTTTGATCACACCTGGTTAATAAGGTCCATCAAGGGTCACTCTGACTCTGTTCTAAACATGGATTTTAGCTCGAACGGAAAGTTTCTGGCTTCATGTTCTGAAGGTAGGAATTTTGTTTTTTCTTTTCAAAGGTAAATGAATCAAATTCAACAAAAATTTTCTCAACCGAGTCTAAAGTGTATCGTTGACAGCGCCCCCCCCCCCAAAAAAAAAAATAAAAATAAAAAAAAATCTACCGGAACTCGCTGGTGAAAGTACAATTGAACTAGAATTTTAAGACTAAAATTGTATACAGCCACACCAAAGAAAAAGAGCCAATCCAACATACAGGAATTGCAGGATCCTTAAAGAAAATATATACGAAAACAAACGGAGGTTTATTTACCTCTGTCAATTTTAAACCCTATGACGTAAAATATTACCGCCCTAATCGTAAAGGGAAAACGCTCAAGGGTCCATATGCAAAGAGAGATATCGTCAGCTTTCGAATCTATTTATCAAAATTCATCATCTCTCTGGATTTATCAAAATGTCTCAAACTTATTCTATTCGTTTGGTTTTTTCTTCTTGATCAAAATGTAGGTACCTCCGTTTGTTGAATTTGATTCATTTGACCTTGGTCCATGGAACATGAACTTTACAACTATTTTATACCTGAATGCAGCTCTCTCGATTACCTAACTCTTTATCTTCGCACTTTTCCTCTTTATTTTTCACCGACTTCTTCTCTGACCGGTTCTTTGGTTCTCTTTCACTCACGGTCTTCTACCGCCGTATGTTTTCGAATTTTGATTTACTAACCACTTCATAACAGTGACGAGGCTGAATTTTGTACTCGTATCAGCAAATGGAAATCGTAAATATACCAATAAATCTTTTTTGCCCTCTGTGTCGAGTATGGGTTGATGATAGATAATTACACAAACATTTCTAACTTGAACTATTGCCTTTGATGTCTATTAAAGTTGTGTTCCCTTATCAATGTACTAAAGTGTGGAAATTGGAAATTTTCCTATCAAAAACTAAAGCCGCGGAATTTTTTTAATAAGTTTTCAAGTGTCAACAAACCGAGCGCAAGAACAATCCAGAACTTCGTTGCGAAGATAAGCCGCTGCTCATTTGTAGACCAGCAGTTTCCACAGCGGTCATTTCGATTTCTTTCGGGACGGATGAAATAATTATAAAGTCGGATGTGAGATCAATTGAACACACATGCCACTCCTTCTGTATCTAGCGAACGCTTACACGTCTTTTTGAAGAACGTTCTTCGTTATGTATGGTTTTTGAGCGGATATTACTTGTTGCTTACTTGTATAGTTTTTACCATTTCTAAAATACCTCTGATGGAACTAGTCCTGAATGTGTGCGCAAAGAAAGCAAAAAAAAAAAAAAAAATAACAATAGAGATGGTGGCACATAGAAATGCGCACAGAGAAAAAATTACTCGACTTGTCATTTTTTTTCTGGAATTAACAAGGACTTTTACAAAATTTTCAAGAGGTGTAATTTAAATACTTTTGTTAAAAACTCCACGTTAATTACGTTAACGTTGGTTTACTTATGTTAATCATCCGCGCGCCGCGGCCGTCGAGTCGCGGATCTGATGTCCAGTTTAATTACGGAGGAGGAAAGACGGAAAGACAGAAAGAGTGAAAACAAACGAGCTACAATCATCCGACAACTGAAACCAAGTTCAAATGTAAAGTATCACTTTCTTTTCTTCCTCTGAATTGCCAGATCTTTGAAATTATCCATCGGTCCACCAGCAAGGTAGCCGTCACTGCAGGCACCCATTTTTGGCCAATGGGCTGACTGTTGTTTCTCGACCTTATCGGGTGGCCGGCCAAAAGAAGAAAAGTTAAGAAAAACTTTTTTTCTTTAATGCAGTAGCAAATAACCGGTGTCAAATGAGATAAAACTCGCGTGTATAAAGTTTCAGCTCTCTACACCACCCCTAGCAGAAAGTGCCCATCACCTTAGGGGATGAAACTCAAAATATGCATTTTTTTAAAAAAACAAACTAAACAAAATAAAGCTTGTCGATAGATGGATCTAGGGTTAATTCTTTGAAAAATGTCTAAAATTTAAAAGATTATCTGAATCCTTTGGGGTTGCAAACTTTACGATTTTCATTTATCTGATAATTTTTGTCTCTATCTTATCCAGGAAGGGCGTCAAAGTTCAAGGACGTTCACTTCCGTGGGAAAGTTTATTTATTCATTCATTCATGTTTTTTTTTGGACGGTTAATACTTTTTAATTGAGGGATCACAACCAGATTTCTAAAATTTATTTGGCAAGAGTGCGTGTATATCTACCAGTTGGCCGCCGAGAATCGGCTTAGTCAAAAGTTTCTGTGGTGACAGATAAGAGAAAGTAAACCAGAGAGGAACTCGAAGCGCAATTACGGCGCCCTCTTGTAAGATCGTGCACATTACTCACACAATTTCTCCCACAAAATGAGAGAAACAAATGATAAATAATGCATTTCAAATCATCGAGAGTTAACAAACCAAGTTTAAAACTGTCAACCGGGGCAACGTGTGCTTAATACAACAGCGGAGGGTATATTTAGGATGATCCTTAAAACTCCTGTTCAGGTTGCAACCCTGATTGCGTTTACAGGGCCCTTCTTTGCTGTCCTGAATTTGACTGTCTGTAGGATAGGGTTGAACCTACCCCAAGTAGAACAATGGGGTATACTATTATTGTCTCAACTTTGAGAGCGATTCTTAAGCTTATCGGTCGTAGATTTTGAGTGGAAATAATTCGCATTATCACATCCCTTGCGATATTTTAGAGGAAATTAGTTGCTTATATTGTAAAATTTAAGTGTTTACAAGAGCCTGATCATAGTGATACGTGTGATTTAATTCTAAGTTCAAAACTATCTTCCGGAAATTCTGTCCGTTTTCGAAGTTGCTTGCTCTCTGGATACTTGGGTCCCACGAAATACTTATAAGAAGAACATCACGCCCTCTTCGGGTGATGAAAACGTATCGCACCAATTGGAAGATCAGCAAATTAATATTGGTGATTGATTTGCACGTTAAGTTTTCTTTTCGTCGACGAAACCGTCAACTCTCGTTGAACACGTGAACTTTCGAAGAAATAATCTGTCATAGTGCCTTTTAACCCGTCCATCAGCTTATTTTCGGGGCTCTTTCCTGTAAAGTATTTTTCGATGCCGTGACAGCGAAATGCACAAGCTGGCAATGTTATCACTATGACAAATCCTTTTAATTGAAGTCATAAAGTGAGAACGGTTCTATCCGTCCGTCTTGTCGCGTTGTCTTGCGAATTGCTCGCAGCTCGCGTCTTGTCGCGTCGAGCGCTTCAAACCAGTTCGCGAATGGCAATAGCCGCGACCAGCGTTATCAATTCGGTGCATAATTATGCAATTTTCATGTTACACGAACTGCGCGACAAGCGGATTTAAGTCATACTTGGCAAAACTGTCCGCAGCTGCGCACAATGCGGAAAAAGTCGAGCACTGGTGTCACATCAAGCAACTCGCACTTTCAGAATTAGCAACTCCTACCAAAAGTCTCAGAGCCAAGGTCGCAGACATGCCCTGGGGGATGGGGAGGGGGGGGGATCTTCGGTGCGTTTGAAAAAATTAGCGAGAAACTTCTATTCAAACCGGCCGATTTCACAAGGAACATTTCGGTATATTTGACGCGTTGTTGCCAATCTCCAGCTAAACTGAGATGAAAAAAATTGTTTAAGCTGTGACAGTGACTTGTTTACATTAATACTACTCTTTCCTAGGAGTAAATATTTTGATATTTTTGATCGGTAATAGATATCTTAATCGAAAATATCCACATGCGTTTCAATACTTCAACATTTTCAGTTGCACTTCACGTAATTTCCTAAACAAAAACAGTTGATAATCAACCAGGAATGCCCTCTATTAACTTGTGCCTCTAACTCGTGATATGAAGGCTTTTATCCAATAAAATTAAACTTCACAACGTGAATTTTCCAAATCGTTGATATCTCGCTTCGAAACTTTGCCTCCTGTTTGATTTTTTATGCAAAAATTCCAATCGAGTTCATATAACCGCTCCCAACATGCCCTAAAACTTCCACGCAAAAATGTTAGTTCGTTCTCTTGCGTAGCAATTAAAAAATGAGGAAGTCATAGGGAAAAAAAAAACCTAAATTACCTAAAACAAGTTCGAATAATCAAAATTTGGGGTCAGAAGAAACCTGTTAACCCCTTTTTTTCGTTGTTACCTTTTCACATTTCCCTCATCGTCCTACCCTCTTCAACAGTCGCGAATATCTATAATTTGTCCCAATTTGTTTTTAAAAAAATGGAAGATGGGGGGGGGGGGCAGGATTCAGCCTCCTGACAATACAGGACGCCACTGGATTTGCATCAAGCCAATTTTGCGACGCCTTTTAAAGGCTGGTGAGTTGATTAATGTAAAGGAGCTGCATTTGGCGATACAGCATTGGACTCTTTGTCCGTTCGTTTCTCGCCGCGTCATAAATGAAGGCGATGAGATTGCGTCGTATTATTTTGCGGAGATATAATCAGTCTGATGGAATTGGGTAATTAGGTCATGCGTATTTAATTCAGAAAAAGTTACATACATTTTTGTCACTCAAGTTGGATGTATTAAGTCTAAGCAACAGACCGAGACGGAATAAAAAAATTCGTCGAAATGGCAAATGGCACTCACCTCGCAGGTTTAGATCACTCTCCGGATTAAAGAACCCTCTGTTTTCACTGCTGCACAAAAGACCTCTTTGAGAGTAGTCATTCGTGTTGGTGTCTTCTCCATGCTGTCATGCGAGGCCATTGCACTTATTGTAAGTGAGACTTATAATTATCTCATAAACCTTTCGTTTTCTATCCAAAGCATTACCGAGCCTTTTAACTCACCCTAAATAGTTATACAAGTAGGTATCTTTTCCCACAATCTAGTACACTAATGGATGAAGAAATAATTACCCTCCAGGGATGATCTCTTTCTCTTGGGAAACATACCTACGTGCATTAATGCTGACTGATAAGTTTAATTAGGGCGTTAATCAAATCGCGTCTCCTTAAAAAAAAAAAAAAAAAAAAAAAAAAAAAAAAAAAAAAAAT